GGGGGGGGGGGGGGGGGGGGGGTCTAAGCAGCTACACGGGGGTGAGAGCTGTGGTTTCAGACCTGTCGTCTCAGGGTGGCCCAGCCCCGGGGAGAGCTGGAGACACACAGGCCCACTAACGGCACCCACTGAAGGAGTGCCACTCTGGAGGTCTCCAGTGTGGAGGCCATTACACACGCAGGCTTGTCGGCAAAGCCAAGAAAGGCGTGGGGACCTAAACTGGTAACATTCATTTGGGATGGGGGAGCCATGTCAAAAATGTTTAGAGAGCAAACATCAGGGAGGGGGCACGAGGTACGTATGAAATACAATACGGGATTCCTCAGGAGCGGCGGCATTCACAAGAGAGAGTGTTTCTGCCGAGCAAAAGTGATTCAAACCAGAGAAAGGCGGCCAGGAGAGAGGTGCAGAGGCGGAAGGGACCGGCGAGGGGCTCCTGAGGGGTTACCTGGGGCTGTAAAGGCAGGTGTGCGAGGTTGGCACACGGGCCCTCGCTCTCCCAGACCCCCAGCACAGCCCCCTACTCTTTTGCAGAGACGCCTCTCTCACCTCACATCCAGCTCCCTCCAGAAATCCAGGAGTCCCAGGAAGTCACTCTGACCTGCTCGCTGAATTTCTCCTGTCCTGGGTACCAGATCCAGCTGAAGTGGTCCCTGGAGGAGCCTGCTGTCACCTCCACCCTCCTGACCACCAAGACTGTGTCCACACAGAGCAAGCTCACCTTCCAGCCGCAGTGGACTCACCACGGCAAGAATCTTTCCTGCCAGCTCTGGGACCCCCGAGCAGAGCGGATACTCTCCGAGGAAAGCGTGGGGCTGGATGTGAAGCGTGAGTGTCCCCCAGGGCCCCCCGGGGAAGGACGAGGGTCTTGTCTCTTCTCTTCCGGCCCTCGAGGGCACCAAGGGTGCCAGGCACCTACACAGAAGGAAACAGGCATCAGGGCTGCATGCTCTCCACCCCCCCTTCCAGCCCCCGACACCCCCACCCCCACCCCACCCCCGTTATCAAGCCCCAGTGTTTCAGGGAACGGATTCATCTTAGCATCTGCTTTGGTCTATCTAACAGAATAAAATACTTGAATAACCTCAAGCCATGACGTGAAGTTGAGATCACGTGGTTACACGGGAGGGGGAGGTGGTAGGCGGGGTAAGAGGCGGTTTCACATCATTGTTCGCGCCTCATTCATTCATTCATCCAATAAATATTTACTGGGTGCCTCCCAGGTGCCAGGCCCTGTTCTGGCGGTGAGCAAACTTCTTGCCCACTTGGAGCTGGCATGGCAGTGGGGAAGACAAACAGGAAACAGAGTAACAAGGAGACAGAGAACTTAACTGTAGGCAGGGATAAGTGTAGTGGGGGCCAATAAAGCCGGGCAAGGGCAGAGGGAGGGAGGGATAGAGGCTTCTCTGAGGAAGGTGAACCCGAGGGAAGGGAAAGACTGGGGCACGCAGATGTTTATTTGCGAGAAGATTCCAGAAAGAGGAAAGAGCGAGGACGAGGGCCTCGAGGTAGGAGCTCGGTGTGCCTGCGACAGAGCAGGGGGCCCAGCGGGAGGAAAGGAGGGCCAAGGGCAGATCTCACGGGCTACAGCAGGGTTTGGGGTTGTATTCTGAGCGTGGAATCCACGCAATGGTTTCAAGCAGGGGAGTAACAAAGTCCGAGCGACAGTGTTAGGAAGGCTGCCGGTTGCCTGGTGACTAGAACTTTGGAGAGCCGGGGGCGTGCGTAGAACAGAGACAAGTTAGGAGTCTGTGAGAGTCACCTGGATGCTGGGGCCAGCCCACCCCCCGTGGACGAGGGTCACGCGAGGGGCCGCACACACGCACACACTACGTTTAACTGCCGCTTTATCAGAATCAAAGCCCTGCAACTTCCCACCACGATACACCCTCTGAGGGGTCCCACCCCCTCTCCCACTGCGCCCCCTGCTCCTCTAGATGCCCCAAAGTTGAAGATTGAGGCCACCCCCAGAGAAGCCATCGTAACAGAGGGAAAGTCTGTGACCATGACGTGCCAGGTCCTCAGCAGCAACCCCGGCTACCAGAGTATAGCCTGGCTGAAGGATGGCACCCTGCTGAGGGAGGAGAGGACACTCACGCTGATTCTGTCCACTGTGACCAAGGAGATGAGTGGGAAGTACCAGTGTGAGGTCTCCAATGAAATAGGCCCAGGACAGTCGGAAGAAGTGGACCTTCAAGTATATTGTGAGCCTCCTGGGAGCTGGGAGGGGGGCAGGCAGGGAGTTAGCAGGGGGTGGAACCAAGGCCCTTGAGAGGTGAGCAAGGGAGGCCCTGGCTCACCTCCCTCCTCTGCCTCTGCGGGCTTTTTCCAGATGCTCCGGAATCTTCCAGGGTTGAGATCCTCCCCTCACCAGCTAAGGAGGGAAATAAAGTACAGATGACTTGTGTGTCACCGGCCAATCCTCCTCCAACAAATTACACCTGGTATCACGATAAGAAAAAAGTACCCGGAAGGACAAGCAAGACCTTCCAGATCCCAGCGGTCCTCCTCGGGCACGCTGGGTATTATTCCTGCTTGGCCGAAAACAGCCTTGGTACTGGACAAGTTGGCGGGGAAGCTGAGTTAGATGTCCAGTGTGAGTAGTCACAGGGCTTCTGGGTTCTAGAGGGAGAAGGAGGAAGGGAAATGGAGCACAGGGGATTCCCGGGTCCTCGAACGGGTGGCAAGCAGAGGCCGGGGTCTCTCAACGTGTAAGCCCCTGGGGTGGGTGCCTCGCTGTTGTCCCCGGTTGTACACCCAGCACCAGAACAGGGTCTGGCTCGTGGTAGGTGCTCGGTAGATGTCTGTCGAATGAACGGAAGCAAGATGCCAGGGCCCCATGAGGGACACGGAGACTCGGCATCACGAGGCAGTGGCTGAGCCCCAGGAGGGGGCCTGATGTGTCGGAGGAGAACTGGAGCAAAATGTCTCGTTACCTCCCCATCGGAGGTCGGACCCTGTTTAACACACTGAATCGTGTCAGTGAGTCGAGCCCAGGACAGAGAGGATCCATAGGTTTGATCCTCGGACCCTGGGATGTCAGAGTCTGAGCCAGATACTCTGATGGGGACGCTCCAATCCCAAACATCTAGACAGCGTGTGACCCAGCGGCAGCGGCGTTTACTAAGCATTTGCTCTGCCCTGGCTGCTTCAGCTCATTTCGTCCTCGCAATGATCCTACAAGGTTAGGGACTCTTAGGACCCCACCTGATGGATAAGTAAACTGAGTCCCGCGGCCCACGATCACTCAGCTCTAAGTCACGGCGTCTGCCAGTCTGGCTCCAGAGCTGTGCTTCTCCCCCAGTGAACGCCCGCACCGCAGCGAACTGACTCTGTGCCCCCGGCCCACGCGGAGGCCCGCAAACAGCGCGCCTCTGTCTCCCACGCACCACGCGTTCTCTGCTGGAGCTCTGCTCTGAGCATCATCCTGCCTCAAACCGGGGCCAGGCCAAATGGCCGGGGTTTCTGTCCTCACACAGATGCAAGAGGGAAGCACAAGGCTTCCTTTGGTTAATTTAGGAACCGTGTGAATGCGGGGGAGGGGTGGGGGAGAGGGAGGCGCCGGGAAAGGTAGAGACGGACAGCTGACTTTCCCTCGCCCATCTCTCTGGTTTTCTCCCAGATCCTCCCAAGGAGGTAACCACAGTGATTCAAAACCCCGCACCGATTCGAGAAGGAGACAGTGTGACCCTGTCCTGTAACTACAATTCCAGTAATCCCGAAGTTACCCGATACGAATGGAACTTCCAAGGCTCCTGGAAAAAACCATTACGCGAGGTGCTGATAATTGAGAAAGTTTCCTGGGACGCCAGACCAATCTCCTGTGCAGCCTGCAACCAGTGGTGTTCGTGGGCTCCCTCTGTCAGCCTGGATGTCCTGTGTGAGTGAGCGGGCAAGGGGATCAGAGAGGTGGGCCAGCTGGGGTATGGGCTCTAAGGGGGAGGGGACTGGGGCCTGGGCCAGAACCTTCACAGAGAACTGAGGGCTGAACGTCTGGCCTCAGGGCCCAGGGGAGAGGAAGTCCTGGGGACAAGAAGAGGGAAAGGGGCCCAAGAGGTCAGCCTGACCCTTGAGGCCCTTGCTCTCCAGATGCCCCAAGAGATGTCAGGGTCCAGCAGATCAGCCCCCCTTCTGACATTCACTCCGGGCACCGAGTCCTCCTTGGATGTAACTTCTCAAGTAGCCGCCCCAGAGACGTCCGCTTCTTCTGGAAGAAAAATGGAATCTTTCTGAAGGAGGGAAGAGAACTGACCTTTGACGCCATCTCTCCAGAAGACGCTGGCAATTACAACTGCTTGGTCAACAACTCCGTAGGACAGACCATGTCTGAGGCCAGGATCCTCCAAGTGCTGTGTGAGTGGCTGGAGCTGGCGACAGACAGAAGAGCAGGTGGCCGGCTACCTGGATCCTGATTTCGCTTCTCCTTATAGATGCACCGAGGAGGCTGCGTGTGTCCATCGGCCCAAAGGACCAAGTGATGGAGGGGAAGAAGGCAGTCCTGACATGTGAGGGCGACGCCAACCCTCCCATCTTCCAGTATAGCTGGTTTGACTGGAAAAACCAAAACCTCCAGCATTATGATCAGATGCTGAGATTGGATCCCGTGAAGGTCCAGCACTCAGGAGCCTATCGGTGCCAGGCCATCAACCGGCTGGGCATGGGCCAGTCGACCCCCAGCACCCTCACTGTCTACTGTAAGGCTCCTTCCCTCTTCTTCTCTGACCCCTCTTTCTCCTTCCTTCCCCCGCCCCAGTCCTGGGGGGCAGCCTGGTGCATCACTCCCAGGCACCCCCCTTGCCCCCCCCCCACACTCACCTTTCTTCCCCCCTTCTCCCCGTCACTCCTGACTCTCTCTAGGAGGGCTCCCTCTCAGGCTGCCCCCGCCTTCCAGACACCCTGAGCTCTTACTGGGTCCCTCTCTGTCTCTCTCTGTCTCACCCTTGATAGGCTGCTTCTTTTTATCTTTTGGGATTTTAGCTTTTTTTTTTTTTTTTTTAAGACAAGGTAAAGCTAAAACAGCACGAGGGGGTAAATGGTAGCAAGACCCCTCTCCCTTCTTTCTCCCTGAGAACTCGACCCTCTCCCTGAAGGCCCTCACTCCCGGCGGCTGGTTGCTTCTCTTCACAGAGCTGTTCTACACGCGCAAGACGCTTTAAGTAGATCTAGGCCTATACACCCTTCGTCACGCAAATCGTGAGAGAGCCTACACATTGCCCTGGATGTTCTTTTGTTTCCCCACGTAACAATACCACTTGGAGACTGGTCTCTATCCGTGCATGTACAGCGTGTCTGAAGGGTCTGGAAACAGTAGGGAAGATATTTAATTTGTTTATTGTGCTTTTGCAGATTAAACTTGGAGCCATGGTTTTAAATTTAGAGGATCATGCCCTGCAAAGCTGGATGCTGAGGGGAGACAGCCTGAGCAGTGTTATTTGGAAATGCAGCGTACTGTATAAAAACCTGTTTCTGGGGTCTCCACTTTGCAGACACCCCGGAGACCTGCCCCTTTCCTTCAGGGCTGCCTTGTCAGTGTATTCCCATGCATGGAAGCGCTCAGTGCCTTCCCTACGGCCTTGTGTTGTCTCCGGCTCTGGGCTCCCAGGAAGGACAGTGGCAGGATAAATTTCTACATGGCATTGCTACGTCAAAGAACAAGTGATTTCACGTTCTGATAAGTAAGGCCAAGCGGTAGCCTTTACTGCGTACTCTGTGTGTGCACCTGTGTCTGTCACAAGACAGGTGTTTCCCAGGAGAGTCAGCCCTTTCCTCCTCATGGGGCCCAGAAGGCAGGGACTGGCTTCTCCCTTCCTCTGCATCACGTCCCCTGCGTGTGGAAGGGGAGTCTGGAAGGCAAGGACAGCGGCCATGCAGGGAGGTTGAGGATTCCTTCCAGGCGGATGCTGCAGGCCAGAGGTTATCGGAGAGATGCAGTGTCACCAACTCATGGTCGCTCTTCCCCCCACCAGACAGCCCAGAGACCATCGGCAGGCGAGTGGCCGTGGGAGTGGGGTTCTGCCTGGCCGCCCTCCTCCTGGCCTTCTGGGGAGTCAAGCTTCAGAAAAGGTGAGCAACTCCCAAGGCCCGTCTCTCCCTGATTCCTTCCCTGGAGTGACTCCCGTTAGCCATCCTGTCGACCCCGCATGCCCGACTCCACGGGGTCCTGTTCCCATCCCCCTGAGCCTCACCGAGCGGGATTTTGTTTCTTAGCTGGAAGAAGATACGGAGCCAGCAGGGGCTCCAGGAAAATTCCAGTGGGCAGAGCTTCTTTGTGAGGAATAAAAAGGTAGGACGTGGGAGAAAGATGAAATGGAGGGCAGACCTTAAAGTCAAGCGGAGACAAAGTGAAGATGGGATGCAAAGAGCACCGTGGGGAGGCGTGGGGGTCAGAGGTCAGGGGAGGGGGTCTTGGCGGAGAATGGAGTGGTGAGAGCCGAGACCCCGTCTCTCTCCCAGGTTCGAAGGGCCCCGCTCTCCGAAGACCCTCACTCCCTCGGGTGCTACAATCCGGTGATGGAAGATGCCATCAGTTACGCGACTTTGCGCTTTCCTGTCGGTGACGCCGACGCACCAATAACCGGGTACTGAGTGAGGGTCCTGGGAGGGAGGAATGGCTCGCGTCCTTTCTGCCCTCTTTGTGCCCGGCACGGGAGCCAGGCCCTGTGCCTGCTCTCAGGGTCTAAGGGAGCTGGAAGTAGGAGGGGAGTTGGTGCGAAATACTTCATCTGCGGCCATCCACCTGCCCTCCCTCTCAGAGACGCAGGGACCCCAGAGACAGAGGGACCTTCCCCAAACAGGGACGACACGGTCACTTACTCCGTGGTGCAGAAGCATCGAGTGGTAAGAGGGCGGGGCTGTGGGAGGTGAGGGTGGGGGAGGTGGGGGACCTGGCCTCAGCTGTGACTCCCAGGAGGGA